GGCTTGGCACAGCTTCATTTTTTTTTCTACCTCTGTTTTGTATTGCAGTGACCGAAACAGGACTGATGTTATAAAGGGTTTGATTGGGTAGAGATGGGATGAGCAAGGGTTTGCAGGGAGTAGGGTGACTTGGGGTGAATCTCCTATGCTCTCTGGGCTTTGGTTTCCCTGGTCTATAAGAGGAAAGAGGTGGCTTGTGGGCCCAAAGTCCCCCGCCCTGACTTTTGTACCATCGTGTCCATCTGAAGGTGTCCTGGCCATTATGCTACCTTATGGAATTATTTCACCATGTGCTCTGCAAACACTACCCACTGTTTGGCTGGACACATGGTTCTGGTGTTTGACTTTGGGGTGGCTTCATGGGTGAGTCCCATCCTTCTTCCTTCTGTGATAGAGGGGAGAATCCTCAGGAAAGCCTGAAGGAGGGGGGAGGTTGGCTAAGTGGGTATGAAAGGCTCCATTCTCCAGTCCAGTCTGTGTGCTCTCAGGGAGGCCTTGTTTCTCCCTGACAGCAGCTCCAAGGGGGGGACACTGTTAGCTTTTCAGATCGTGCTGTTAGCTGGGAGCAGCACTTAAAAATAAGCTGCAATTAGCAGGAGTTTTGAAAAGATCTGTCAGTTCTTCCTCAACCTACTTCTTTTTTCCTTTACTGCAGGAGGGGAGGAAGTTGGCACAAGTAGAGACAGAGGAATGGCTTTACTTCTATTTGTAAAATACATACAGTTGAGGCAAAACATTCATAAATAGAGGGAAAAACTGGTTATGACTGTTAACATCAGTGTGTGCTCATCTAAACCCTGGTAAAAAATGGGGGGTGCTATAACACATGGTTATAGTCAGCTAAGAACTAAGATTGAAAACCCTGGCTATTCCAAGCACAGGTGGTGAAATCTAATTGGTCATTTTCTTCAGAGTTTAGATGCTACTTTAAAATAAATGTGTAGGTAGGGGCGCCTGAGTGTCCAATGCCTGATTTCAGCTCAAGCCATGATCCCAGCCAGAGTCATGGGATCGAGCCCTGCATTGGGCTCCATGCTGAGCGTGGAACCTGCTTGGGATTCTCTCTCTCCCCCACTTGCGTGCATGCTCTCTCTCTAAAATAAAGATGGGGCACCTGCATGGCTCAGTAGGTTAAGCATCTGATTTCAGCTCAGGTCATGATCCCACAGTTCATTGGTTTGAGCCCTGTGTCAAGCTCTGTGCTGATAGCTCAAGCCCTGGAGCCTGCTTTGGATTCTGTGTGTGTGTCTCTCTCTCTCTGCCTCTCCCCCACTGTGCATGGGCATGCACGCATGCTCTCTCTCTCTCAAAAATAAAAAACAAAAAATAAAGATAAATAAAATAAATGTGTAGTGTGGGCTTATAATAGGATGAACCCTCTACCACCCACCCTGCTCAAGTCATCATAGACCTACACCCTGGGCTTTGCTTTTATGTGCTGTGGGCCTCAGACAGGTCTTTCAGACTACCTTGGCCTCAGTTTATTCCTTTCTAAAATATTTCTCCTAAAGCCTAGTTTGCAATGTCTGTAACAATGCTTTGAAAACAGCTAGAAGCCAGTTAGAACTCTTAAGAGCCGTTTTCTCAAACTAATGAGAGTTGCTTGAGGAGAGGCACCAATGGACCCCTGTCCTTGCCTTCGTGCTGAACCTCTTTGGGTCTGGGAATGTGCATTCTGTGGGGTTTGCTCTGTCTTTCCTGGGCCTTAGCCTTGCTGTCATGAATTATCCTATTTGGAGCTCATTCATCTTTCATCCCTGCTTCTGCCCTGTGAGTCTCAGTTTCTATGGTTGACCCTCCCACAGACCCCCAGAGTTCAGAAGCCTACACCCAGCCTTCCCTGCTTTCGTGGTTAGGAAACTCAGCCGTTTTAGCTCCCATCTAGTCTCTTAATTGTGGGCATTTATAGCTTCAGCTGGGTTTCTTCTAGCTTTGTTTGTCTTTCCACAATGGTTGGGACCAGACCCAGTGCTGAGTCTCAGTTTCCTCACTTGTGAAATGCACCTGTTTTCAGGGACAGTGGGGACTGGTTTGAGTTTGTCTCTGGGGCCTCCTTCTGGGGCTGTCTGTAGGACTTCCTGCCTGCCCTAGTCCTGTCCACCGCCTGAAGGTCTTTTCACATGGTGTTCCTGGCCTGGTACTTGCTGTGCCTTCTCGCCCTTTCCTGAACCCACGTGTTATTCGTTACCAGCCTGGGCTCTGAAGGGTGGTAGTATCTCCTGTTTTGCTCATTCCTGTCACTGGGCATGGGCAATCCATAAGTATTTGTTGAATGAGAAGGAAATTATCTGGGGAAAAACTGTCCTACCAAGCCTTTCCACCCACATGTCACATGAAATGACAGGAGCCATCACTCACTCAAGGAAACTGCCATGTGCCTGTTTGAATCATCTGTCATCCAGGGTGCCTGGGTGGCTTAGTCAAGCGTCCGACTCTTGATTTCAGCTGAGGTTTCTCACAGTTTGTAAATTTGAGCCCCGCATCAGGCTCTGTGCTGTGCATCAGGCTCTGTAGCCTCCTTGGGATTCTCTCTCTCTCTCTCTCTCTCTCTCTCTCTCTCTCTCTCTCTCTCTCTCTCTCTCTCTCTTTGCCTGTTCTCTCTCTCAAAATAAAAAATCATCTGGCATCCCTTCAGCCCTCATGGTGATGCTAGGCCTGTAAGCAGGGAAGACAATGATAATCTTTCTTTCTCCCTGCTAACACCTGCTGAAATATGCATCCCTAAGAACCCAGGGGCCTACTCCCCTGATCCTTACCTAAGCTGAATGTTGGGAAAGGAGCTCCCCTGGGTGGGACCTTCATCTCATTGCTGCACAGGGAGGCAGCTCTGGGCTGAATATATGCAGGTGGATTATCTAGATGGGCTCTAGGATACTGTGAGAGGAAACTAGGTTGCTAGTGCTGACCTGGCAGGCTCCTGGGCAGGGCTGAAGCAAGGTTAGCATTGGGTGTGCCTGTCAGACCTGGATGAGTCACTGTGAGCAGGAGTCTGTCCCTTGCTCCTTGGTATTTCCCATTCCATGTAGATCTTGAGTGTCCAGATACAGAAGTCTGCCCAGAAGTTTCCTCTATATGGTGGCCTTTTGGGCAGGCCCATTCACGGGAGCCAGTTTTCCACCCCACCCCCCAAAACATCCATCACAGCAAAGTGTCTGGGGTCTGTGGGTACCCAGACCCAAGAAAGATGTTCAGTGTTCCCAGGTTCCTTGTCAGCAGGCCCTGAATTGGTTGAGCAGTGCAGAGGGAGGGCACGGGAAAGGGACATCCAGCGCTCTGTTCCAGGCATCATTCCCTCCCTGCATTGGGTTGGCTGAGGGCCCGCAGCTGCATGTTTGTTCTTGGCCCTCGACCGTGACCGAGTTACTCCCTACCAAAGAATGGACTATGCCCATACCATGGAAATCACCTGTGTTCAGCTTACTGAGCCTTGAGAACTATGCAATTCAGTCCGGCTGATAGAGGGACCTCTGCCAGGAGCCCAGGCCAGTGCCAAGGGCTGGGTCAGGCCTGCCCCTTTGCACACAATGGCCTGGGTCCCTCCCCCATCCCCAGCCTCTTGCCTCCCATCTGTGGGGCAAGCCCTGAGGCTGCATGTCTCACTGCCTCTCTCTAAGGTGCGTGCTCTCACTCCTGTCCTATCCCTGGAGCAGAGGGTGGTGTCACCCCATGCCTTGGCCCTCAGGACCCTTTGGCTGCTTCTCCCATTCACCCTGGGACCTCTTTCCATATTGGCCACCTCCAAAGAGCTCCGCAGAAGGAACACAAGGGAATTAAAAGGGAGCTTGCCCCCACAGAAGCTTTTGGAGACTTATCAAGCCCTGTTTATGAAGGTCTAGGGCCATTTATGGGACACCCTCCTCAGCCACCCATGCCTCTTTGCTCCAGAGCAGCCAGAGAATTTCTATAGAGGAGGGTCTTAGGGGTGGCAGATGAGGGTCAGGAAAACTTGTGTGCCACTGTTTTTTACTTAAAGTATACATTACTGATTTTAAAAAGGGGGAAGTTTTCTAAAGGTGCTTTTATTCACACATTGTGTGAAATGGAGAGAAGCGTCAAAGCCATAGAATTGTATGTTTAAAATTTGTGTTTAGCATGCCCTTGAGGAAAGGGCAGCTGGAGATGGGAAGGTGGCCAGGCCTTCTACCCAGGCCACCCCTCGGTCCTGCCACCTCCTTGCCCCACCTCCTTCTTCCTCCACCACGACCCTCTCAGCCTCGTCCTTGGTCCGGCTTTGTAAGATGATGATGTTTGTACTCTGCCAAGTGCTTTTGTACTGTTTGTCTTGGATAATCCTTCAGCCGCTCTGGGAGGTCCTGGAACCTGCTACTGATTCTTACTCTTCCAATGGCTAATTCTGGACTTATCAAGGAGCTCTGTGGAATCCCCACATTTCTAGATCCCCACAGTGCTCCATCCAAAGTGCATTTTCCCCTTTACATCAGCCAGGACTGACCCCTTCAGTCACCCCCAGTGACGTTGCCGTTGGTGAGGTCTCTGAGTTCCTCCTCTCTGGGACCTCCTTTCTGTGCTGAACACATTGTTCAGGCAGTGGCCATGAGTTTTCTCATCAGCCAGTCTTTCCATCCCTGATGCCTTTTTTTTTTTTTTAAAGTAAAAATCAACCCACATTTTTTATTCTGCAAAGTCAGGTTGCAGGGGAACAACCTGAGAGGTCCCTGCTGATTGGGGTCTTCTGGAGGGGAGGTGGCCTTAGTGCCCCTGCTATTTAGGCTGTCAAGGTGGAGCTGCACTTGGGGACGAGTAGTGGGAGCCTCTCCCTGATGTTTGGCAGCCTCTGCTGCTGACCCCTGCCTTCCACCACTTTTGCCCCAAGGCCCTCTTTTAGGCATCCCTCCCAGGCCACAGCTGGCTGGCCCTGGACCTGCAGCTGCCTCAGGGTGCTGTGGCAGCCCTGGAGAGCTCTTTCAGCCTTCTCAGAAGGAGGGGGGGTGGTGCTGCGCAGTGAGCATAGTGGTTAGGAAGAGTGATCTTGGAGTGACCTCAGGCAAGTTTCTTAACCTTTGAAGCCTCATTTTCCTCATTTGTAAAATGAGATTAATACTAGTTCTTCTTCATGGGGGTGGTGGTTAAGGTTAAATGGGGCTAGCCATGTCAAGGGCTTGGCACTATGCCGGACACCTGCTAAGGCTCAAATTAGGAGTGTTTATTAATATCCTGTGGGGGCATTGCTTGGCCTCTGGAATCCAGGATCTGACAGTCTCCAAGTAACCACCTGTTGCCTTCTCTCTATTCAGGGTATCAAGAAACCATTCACTGAGGTCATCCGTGCCAACATTGGGGATGCCCAGGCCATGGGCCAGCAGCCAATAACCTTCCTCCGACAGGTAAGCTGGCCCTCAGGAGCAGAAGCTGCTGGGAGAGCAAGGAACTAGAGACTGGTAGAGCCAGCCCATTTCTCTGATGTCCCCTGGGTCTCTCCTTCAACCTCTTCTCCTTCCAAAGTTGTCTAGAATTCCTAGACTCATTTTGGGGTTACTCTAGTGTACAAGGCTCCCAGGCATGCCTTTCCACGGTCCATGGTCTTGGATACTGAATTTGGAGCTTGGTTGATGAGGGCATCAGAGAGGCAGCCTGGAGAGGTAGAGTCCCAATGGGCTGGGAGGTGGTATGTGGGAGTCCAGATACAGCTTCCCAAGTGAGACACCCCGAGTTTAAGTGTTAACTCTGCCATTTACCAGCTGTGTGGCTTTGAGCAAGTGGAGATCACCAGAGCATTGCCTTGGAGCACAGCTGGGGGTCTCAGTGCAATGATGAGTGTAAAACGCTCATCCCTAGCCCAGCAGGAGAGTGTGGGGTTGGTGATCACTCTCAGCTGCTGCTCTCCTGGCTGCCTTGCTGATGTGACCCAGCTTGCTCCTGAGGTCTCCGGGAGACAGGTTTTAATGTTTCAGTTTGAGCACCAACCACAAGGATGCTGCATGAGCTCAAATTGTGGGATTGATGGGCTGGAGGGGTAAAAATAGGGTGTGAGAATGCCATAGGGCCTCCTGAACAGAGACTGGAGACCAGCTGTGATGAAAGCTGTTTCCTAGAGGAGAATTGGGGCCCTTTTTGGAGCAAAATATGGTCCTTGTGTGATTAAGGTTCACAGGGTCAGGCAGGCAGGGAAGCTGAGCACTGAAGTCCCCAGTTCTTTTCTCAGCCTGTGTCTCCTGCTGCAGGGGCGATACAGGGAGGGGCAACCCTGCCCAGCTCTTGGTGGAGGGCTGTGGGGGTGCTGGGGGACCTTAGCTCAGGGAGCACACATAGTGTATGAGGAAAAGAACCGAGGCTGACACTGACCTGAAGGACATCCATTGGCCTCCCCTGCTGTGGCCACTGCTGCTAACCTCAGGAGCATGCCAGCTGACTGTGAATATAAGAGACCCCAAACTGGGCCCAAGATGGAGAAATGGATCAGACCAAATAGAGCAGCTCAGCCAGGGAAGTGGAGGCAGGAGGAGGCTAGGGGGCCCTGGTTGTCCTGGAATCATGCAGCTTTGAAGGGGAGAGGCAAAAGATGTTCCCCACACATGTCTGGGACTCTGGGCATGAAGAGGCTCCTGTTGCCTCAACCTTTCTGTCTGGCTGACATGCTCCCAAATCCTGCTCTGCCTTGGCAAGCCCAGCCTCTCCTACCTGATGCTGGCCTCCTGCAGCTTTCACTCATCTCCTTTCTTCTTCACAAGTGCCCCTGGGAGGAGGGCTGGGTCACTGCCCTTGTACAAATGAAGAAGAATGAGGCTCCAAGAAGCCAGCACCTGCCTGAAGTCTCCCAGCTGGGGTCAGAGCTATGAGCACCCTCCTCCCCTTAGTGGTCCTGGCACAGTTCCTAAGCTGCCAGCTTAGACTTGCCCAGTGAGCTGGGGTTTACCAGCACTTTTGCAAACATTTCCTTGATTAATCCTCTTAATTTGTGAAGTTAGGGTGATTTTCTCTGTTATAGAGATGAGAAAGCTGACCAGCTTTCAATTCTGGCCAGGAAAGGGGATGATGGTGAGAAAGGGAGAGGGGGTCTGGGTCACGGGGATCAGGGCCAGTCAGTCTGTGAGTTAGGAAGAGGTCTATGTTCCTGTCAGTTGGGGCTTACCTGCTTGCTCAGTTCTCGCCCCTTCTCAGGAGCCCCCTGGTGTGTGGACTACTGTCCTCTTTGGAAGAGTTGGTGCCAGGGACTGAGTAACAGGCTCATTCTGTCTCATGGATCCTCTTCTGGAAGACCCCATATGGGCCCCAAGCCCAGGTCCTGATGTACCCCACCTTTCAGCATGAGAGCCCAGTGTGCTCCTCCCCCACCCGCCCCCAAGCTCCTGCCAGCTGGAACCCTTGTGGAGCACATCTGCCACACATCCCTGAGTTGTCATCTTCCTACCCCTCCTGGGGCTCTGGGGTCGGGTGGGGGGGGGGGGGTTGCTGGGAGCCCAGCCATGCCTCTTTTCCCCCAGGTGATGGCACTCTGTACCTACCCAAACCTGTTGGACAGCCCCAGCTTCCCAGAAGATGCTAAGAAACGAGCCCGGAGGATCCTACAGGCTTGTGGCGGAAACAGCCTGGGTGAGGCCCCCAACTGGCCAGGTCCCAGAGGGTGTGAAATGAAAGTGTGCTCTGAGCATGGGCTAGGGCCCTGACCCTGAATGGAGAGTTATTCATGTGAGTGAGTGTGTGAATGTGCATGGGATGGTGACCTGCAGAGTAAAGGGAAAAATAGTGTTCCTCTTCTTGTCTGTGCTCTGCTAACCTCCTGTTAGCTAGGCAGTGAGGTCAATGCCCTCTTTGGTAAGTCGGGGCACATCAGGTACAAGAGCCTACATTTGCCTGGGTTTTGGTGTTACACCTGGGAGCCAGCTTGGATAGCTGAGCCCTCTGTCAGAGGAGAGAGTTTAACCCAGTGACTGGCCTCACTGACAGGCAGTTGGGTGCAGTGTGTGGCTTTGTCTAGCCTTCTTGCCTGTCTGTGGCCCCTGCCCAGCATCCAGCAAGTGGCAGTCAGTTACGGGGGAAGGGAAGTACTGTGAGATGCCTGTGACCCCTGTTTGGTGGCTTCCTTCCTTCTGGCTGTGCTTCCGCCACCCCAGCCTCTGGTCCTCTCTGCCGGAAGCCCATGTCCAGCCATTTGCCTCCTTATTGAGGGGGGACACCAGGCACCAGAGGGCTCCATGGAGGGAGGCCCCAGAAGTTGGCCCCTGTACATGTGAAAATGATATTCTCTCTCCCTTTGCTGCTGAGATGGATTTCCAGCCTCTGGCCCTCTGGCTCTTTGTTCTCATCTTATGTTCTTTGTTCTGTTTGTTTTTGCCCAATTCCTTTGCCCAGCACCTACACAGGAGATCCAGCTTTCCTCACTACAGGAAAAACAGTTGTTCTTAGAGCTTTTTTAGGACATGTGCCTAAATGTTCTAGAATGTGGAAGAAGGATTCTTATGGCTTGTTCAGCAGAGGATCAGCTACCTTTGGCCTCTCTGCCATCTCCCTGCCTCTCCCCTCCCTTTCTCTGCTCTTTCCCTTTATTGAGAGCCCTATGATTGCTTTCCTTGCCATGGTTACCCCACCAGCCCTCTGTCCAAGTCTGTTACTGTCCTTTTTTTTTTTTTTTAAAATGTTTATTTATTTTTGAGAGGGTGGGGAGGGGCAGAGAGAGGGAGACACAGAATCTGAAGCAGGCTGCAGGCTTTGAGCTATCAGCACAGAGACCTAATGCAGGACTCAAACTCATGAACCATGAGATCATGACCTGAGCCAAAGTCAGACGGTTAACTGACTGAGCCACCTAGGTGCCCTGGTCACTGTCCTTAATGGTGTCCTTCTCAGGAAGGGGCCAGCTGCCCCTTGTTTCCTGCCCATCAGCCTGGGTAGGGTGTGGGGCAGCACCTTGTGTGGCAAGGCCTAAACCACAAGCTGGTAGAGAGCTGCCCAATAAGCCCAGAGGCCCGGCCTCCAAGCTCTTTTCCTTCTGCACCCTCTGCCCAGCCCAGAGGACAAAGGCGCTTCTCAAAGACCCCTTGGCCATGGGCCTAAGACTCTTGGAAGCTGCAAGGAGAGAGAGGAGGAGGGAGTGTTTGCCTTCTGTGTGTCTGGTGGGAATGTCTGGGGAAGGGGGAGGAGTTCTTTGTTTCATGTAGGAAACTTCATCAAGTTTTGCAACTCTGTCAGCCAGGCTATGGAAAGGAGTTTGAGAAGCCATGTTCCTGTGAGTCTCCTCTTGGGGTATTGTAGCAAGAAGAAAGTTGGCCTCTGGGGTTTTGGGGACCTGCACTGAGTTTTTTCTGAGGACCTTATGAGGATAGGTGAGGTAGGTGCTCTCTGAGCCCCTCTCCTCATCCTTGAACTAGGAAATACTTTGTACTCATCTCCTAGGCTTGTGAAGAAGGTTGAGATATGTGCTAACCCCCCTTGTCAGGTATGGAGAAGCCCTGTCCCTGGAGGTTGCTACCAGTTCCTGTCCATTGCTGAGGGCAGGGCAGTGTCATCAGGGGGTGGTGCTCTGTCACCTAAGCCTTGGGCAGCCTAACAACCTGCCTGCCCATAAGGGTAAAGGAAATAGAAAATGTCAGTACCCAGGGCTACCCTGACCCAAGTGGGGATTATTAAATACACATACAAGGTCTTAAAGCTCACCTGGATATGTTTTTATCATGCCCTTTAAAATTACTTCTTACTAGAGTTTCCTTTATTATCTGTTTGACAAGTAATTTCGCTCTCAAGTTGTATCTTGGATCTTAGGTAGGATTAAGGTGGAATCTAGCCCTTATCTAGTCCTCCCTGAGCATGCTCTAGGCGTTGAGGGACACTGGTGAACCAGGTGAATGGACTTTCCATGCTCACAAAGCTCACTGTCAAATTTGGGAGAAACAAACATTAAAAAGAATGGACAACAAAAAATATTCTAGTTTTCATGAGTTCTTGGAGAAAGAGCAGAGAGTTATGGGGCTTTAACAAGGGATTCTAATGTCCAGGGAGGGTTTAAGGAGCAAATACATGAATTTGAGAGCAAATTCATGTGGAGGGTGAGTAATAGAGAACCTGCAATGCATCAGAAGAAATGGTGTGTGCAAAGGCCCTGAGGTTTAAGAACTGGGTGATCAAGTGAAGAGGTCTGGATGGGGCGGTATGTGATGGGGCTGGGAAGTTTGGTAGTGGTGATGGTGCCAGTTTGTAGGCCATGGGAGGCAGGTTGCCATCAGCCTGAGGGCAGTGGGTCCCAAGCTGGGGTAGACCAGGCAGGGGGATAGGTGCTGTAGCAGAGATGCACAGAAGAATCCGGCCCCTGCCCTCAGGGAACTTATATTCAAGATGGGGAGGCAGGGCTTCATAAATACTGGAGAAATTGCAGGTCAGGAGAGAGGCTGGGGGTGGGGCAGTATCTTTATGACAGGCCCCCTGGAGAGAGACTAGATTAGAGCTTTGAAGGACTAGTGTGGTTTGGAGCATAACAGAAAAGTTAAAGGAAAAGGGTTGGAAGGTCATGGCCTACTGGAACAGGGCATTTGCGGATGGCAGAAGGCCTGGGAATTCAAGAAAGTGGATGAACTAGAGGCAAGAAGGAAGGGGAGGCTTCATCCCATGGCGAATGGCCCATGGAGTGAAGAGAGCACTGAGAGAAGGCTTAGGAAAATAGAGAGCCCTAGCAAGTTTCTGAGGATGGGAGTTCAGCAATAAGTAAGTCACTCAGTAGAGGGAGAATTCTCTAACACCAGCATTTGTACTTCCCCACGGTTTTAATTTACAAAATATTTCAAATGCAACAGAATACCCAAAGTAATGTTAACAAAAGACTTTATACCTACCACCCAGATTTGATACATGTTAATGTTTGCCTTGTGAACTTTAGAGAATTGGCCCAGCCTCCCCTCTTTTCCCCCTCCATTTTATAGCTTGTCAGAGGGGAAGTGTGAGCCAGTTTCACACAGAGGCTGAGGCAGAGCCTGCCTGGCCTTCTTCAGCAGAGCCTCCAGGGTGCAGGGCCTGGACTGATATCCACTGAGGCCCAAAGAAGCCCCATCCTGCCTCCTGGTGGTGGTTTTGCAGTAGACTTAGAAGGAATAGGCTGGTTCTTTTTAAATGTGGTATAAAATGTAAATGGTATCAAAGGATATAGAATGAAAACTCTGCCTCCCACCTCTGACCCCTAGCCTCCTCTTCACTTCCCCAAAGAGTTCAGCTCACCATTTTGAGACTCCTACCAGATCTTGTGCATGTGCAGCTACCTATTTCCAAATTCATTCTAAAAACATAGTGGCTTGACCTAAAAAAAAAAAAAAAAAAAAAAAAAAACCACAGAAAAACCCAACAAACTCTTTATTTGAAGTATAGCAAACCTATAGTAAATGCACATAATTAATCGATAGCTCAAATGGTTTGCACAGCTTTTACACTCAGGTAACCCACCCACTGACAAGACAGGTGAACATTTGCATGCGAAGAGCTCCTTTGTGCCTCCCCTTAGCAGATGCACCACCTTGAAAGTGGTCACCACTGTTCTTCTACCTTCCAGCACCGGAAATTAGTTTTGCCTGTTTTTGAACTAAATGTAAATGGTAGTCTGGATTTTTAATCCAAATGATAGCCTAAGGATATTGTTGACATGGGTGGGGGTAGGGGAGTCATGCCCAGCAGCCCCAGGGATCTGTGGTTAGTACTGATCAGGGCTCTGGACTCCTGGGGCTGGCAGCTGGTGCCATTTTACGTTGACCCATTCTTCCAGGTTCTGTGGAACTGTGTGTAGGCAGAGGTGATAAAGACATAGCAAGCCCAGCTGTAATGATTTATACTATTGTAGAATGTATATAAATCCCACAAGGGTGGATAAAACAGGTATGGGCACATTTAACTGATTGGAAGCCAGGGCCTAGAATAATGCTTGACATATAATGGGTTCTCAGTGAATACTGAGTGGATGAATGGGGGAGGGGGGGTAGATGAACAAATATGCAGATGGATGGATGGCAGGTGGATGGTTGGATGAGAGGGTGGGTGGATGAAGCCCGGATAGGTGATTAAACAGCTTGCCACCATTCCACAGCCTAGAGTAGTGGGAGTTGGGTCCCTTCCAAGACCTTCCCAACCCCACCCTAGCTAATTATATAGATTTCACTGACTCCATAGCACCAGTTACCATGCCTCTCTAGTCACTGTCTTGTTTGCTGTCTTGCAGGCTCTTACAGTGCTAGCCAGGGTGTCAATTGCATCCGTGAAGATGTGGCTGCCTACATTACCAGGAGAGATGGTGGTGTGCCTGCAGACCCAGACAACATTTACCTGACCACTGGTGCCAGTGACGGCATTTCTGTACGTGTTATCTAATGTTCACCCATGTGAAGAATAGCCTTGCATGCTAGGGCCAAGCATGTGAGCCTACCAGCAGGGGGATGGGCCTGGGAGGGAGGGGTTGGCTACCCTCTGGTTCCTGCTGTGTCCCCCATCCTGCTGTCCTTACCCCATTCAGTCATCTTGAAGCTGGATATTCCTGCAGCCTTGGTTTCCCTCCAGAGTGCATACCTGCAGATCCAGCTGGAGAAGAGCCATGGACACTCAAGGGTGCATTGGCCTTTCTCTCACTTAGTACATACTGGTGTTCCTTCTGCCAAGCACTGTACCAGGTGCTGGGGAGATGGTGGCAACCAAACACGTTTGGCCTCTGTTTACATACTCGTGTTGGATCAGACTAACCTTCATATCAAATAAATGTCTCATCACACGCTTTCAGTTTCTCTTCTGAGTGAACAGGACAAAATGCTACAGGAGGGGCAGCAGGTGGCAGGGGTGGCTGTCAGGGGGCAGAAATGTTTCTACAAGGATGGCTGAGCAGAGATCTGGAGGATATGTAGGTGTGAACAGGGGAGGCAGGGGTCAGGGTGTGTTTGGGACAGAAGGTCAACATGTGCAGAGGCTGTGAGCTGGAAGGAGGCTTTGTGTTTGGAAATGGAGAGATGAAGTGAATGAGCACCTGTAGCAAGGGCCAGTTTCCAGAAATGGGCTAGGGAGGCAACTGGAGCCCGAGTCCTATAGGGCTTTTGTGGCCATGTGAGGATTTAGGTCATTGTCCTAATAACAATGTCCATTGAAGGATTTGAAGGTGAGGGGAGTGATGTAAGGACATGGAGATAATTAGATTTGTGTTAAGTTTTAACTTTGGCAGGGAAGGGGCATGATCGGGATGAGGAGGACTAGGAGGGGGAAGAGGTGACTTGGGCTGCGGGTCACCTGTGGATGAAGTGAAGAGGGGCTGGTATTAAAGTGTGCTTAGAAGGGGCCTGAAGTCCTGGGTCTGAGGGACCTGTGGTCCATTCCCATGTAGTATGCCTCTTCCTGTGCCTAATCAGTGCTAGGCGCCTTCAATTCACTTATTTTCCCTCCTCAGGGAGTGTGTGCTGATCTTTCTTTTAAATGGTTATCTTTGTCTTTTGACCTCCAAGGCTCTTGTTTCTAATGTTTACTGAGTGCTTTCATCCTTTCCCAAAAGCTTTCAGATGCTTTAAACTCTTACTGGAGACCGCGAGGAAACAGGCCCAGTAATGTTAAGTGGTCTGCAGGCTTTAAGTCAGCCTCTTGTGGAATTTGGGATTCGAGTGTTGAGGCTCAGGTCTTCAACCGCAGCATATTCCGTTGTGTTCTGTTGTCAGAGCCCCTTGTAATTCCCAGAGAAACCCACATACACACAGAGGTCCTGGAGCAGGGGAGGGAGGTGTCTTCAAGATTTAGGGAAAAGAATCAAGTTGTTGAGCTTCTTAATTTGGTGGCATTCTTGCAGCAAGGAACTGAGCCTGTGTGTAAGGTGGGGGCTCTGACAGAAGAGGGTTTCTTATGAACTACTGCCATGTCCACCAGTAGCCCACAGGACTCACATGACCTGGTTTCTCAGGAGTCCTGCAAACCTTGAGCCTACACAGCTGTGGAGACAACCAGGTTGAAGCACAACCTGCTGATAGTAGATGGGTATTTTCTCCCAGTTTGACAATCCTTTCCTTGTTCAGGGGTCTGTCCAACCTTGGACAATGGTAATTACTAACAAGACAGATTTCCACTGCCCATCCCCACCAGGACAGACGGAATGAGCTTAAGGGCTGAGGTCAGAATATTATTCTGAGACGGCCAGTTTGTAGACCACTGCTTTAGAAGACCTCTTTAAAAAGTAGAAGCATTGAGTCTTTTAACTACTGTGCTGAGAACATTAAAGCATTTCATTTTGCTTATTCCTCATAGCAGACCTCATTTTACACATGGAGAAAGTGAGGCTCAGGGAAGCCAAGGGGCTCATGTGGGCTGCACTGCAGGCAGGCAGCAGGGTGGCTGGTGAAAGGCTAGAGGTGGGGCCTCCCGGAGTATCTGCCTGACAGCCCCCAAAGGGTGCAGGGTGGTAGTATTCTTGGAAGACATGGCTTCTCTATTGCAGACAATCCTGAAGATCCTGGTCTCCGGGGGCGGCAAGTCACGGACCGGTGTCATGATCCCCATCCCACAGTACCCCCTCTACTCGGCCGTCATTTCTGAGCTCGATGCCATCCAGGTGAACTATTACCTGGATGAGGAGAACTGCTGGGCCCTAAATGTGAATGAGCTCCGGCGGGCTGTGCAGGAGGCCAAAGACCACTGTGACCCCAAGGTGCTGTGCATCATCAACCCCGGGAACCCCACAGGTCTGTGCTTCGCTTTGCCACTTTATTGGGGAGTAGGGGCAGGGCAGCCGGTGTACTACAGGTCTGGACACGAAAGAGTTAAATAATGTGACGTTCTCTTTGCTCCCCTTTCCCAATCTAGTTCCAGATTTGTTAACATAAAGCCATAAAATCTGCCACAGGCCACCTTAGGAGATGAGCAAATGCGGGCATATTTTTTGGACAGGGTTGCATTATTATTAAGACCAGTTTTTTGGTTTTTTTTTCTTTCTCCCATTCTTACATTTGCAAAGAATCTCCTTGAGGTTACTTACAACCCATCACCATTAATCATAGGCCTCATTTTACCTTTACTCCTAGTTGTTTTTCTGAACCAGTTTTCAGAATGCTGGTGTGTGCGTTTTTTTCTTTAACACAGCGTTACTGTGTACTTTGAGACCTGGAAAGGAAATGCCATATTAAAAACAAAAGCAAACAAACTGAAAAAACCTGTTTCCAGAAGTTGAAAAGCACGCCTAATTTTGCATATTTTTCTTTAAAAAAAACAAAAAAAGTCCAGCCCTGCATGTTTGGATCTTTCTGGGCTGCTGGCTTCATTTGCCCCCAGTGCTATTTGGATGCTGAGAACAAGGGCTCCTCTTTCCTCCTTTGTTGAGATAAATTGGGTCAGGGCCAAAACGCGTTGGAGTTGATTGTGGAATCTGCTTCTTTGGAACATTAAATGATGCTTCAATCAGCTGAAAGCACCACTTGAATTCCTGAGTGCAGAAAATGGGTGCGCCTGGCTGTAACACTCATTTATTTACATCAGCTCCCTGGGGGTAGGAATGCAGATTCTAGCTCTAATGCAATAGGAAAATGACTACAGCTGGGTTCTCAATCCTGGTTGCACATTAGAATCACAAAAGGAGCTTTTAAAAATGCCAAAGTCATGGCTGCATCCCAGAATCTCTGGGGATCGGGCCCAGGCATCAATATTCCCCACAGCTGATGATGAGAACCACCACATTAGGACAGTGGTTCTCAGACTTAAGCTTGTTAAAAAGCAAACTGCTGGACCCCGCTCCAAGAGATTCTGATGTAATTAGGCTAAGTTGGGGCATGAGAGTTTGTATTTCTAATGAGCTCCCAGGTGATGCTGTTGCTGCTGGTCCCAACTTGAAGTAACAGTTCCTACATCTTGGGAAATACTCTGTATACCTAGTTTATATTAGAGGGTTGGTAACTTTTAAGGCCAGGTGTTTATGCATATCTTTTCACCTGGTTCTCTGGGAAGAAATAATTGCGTCAGAGACTTTACTATTTAGGTAAAGGGATCATGGGAGTGTATATTAATATGAGTAATTTTTAGAATAACTGTAAGTGGGCAGAGGCTGGTGTTGCTTTCTGGGGTCTGAAATGTGTGAAAATTGGTGAGCTCTTGGAAGATGGGGGATGAAAAATAGAAACTCTCTGTGATGGCCATATATCTTGTCTGGACCACACACTGACCACTTGGGCTGAAAGGTGTCAAAATGGACTGGGATATTAAACCAGGCCTCTGGGTTCTAAGATAGAAACCCAGCTCAAGATTGCAATTGGGTCATAGAACTGTAAAGTCCAGGGGTGAAGGAGCACACCTGAATCAGCATCATTGTCATAGGAACCTCGGTCCATTTCCCAGGTCTCAGTTGGAGTCCTTCTCAGGAAGGATCTGTCCTTGGTGTGACCTTCAGCAGCTCCAGCCATGGCCCACCAGCTGAGCAACCTCAGCAGAGAGCCTCACCCATAGTTTTAACAAAAATTCCAGGCCAGACTCTCTTTGGCCCAGCTTAGGTCATCTGCCCATTCCTGCACCAGTCAAATCACCAAGACTGTGACCAGGTCTGTGTCCCTTGGCCCTGCTGGAGTGCAAAGAGAAGCAGTTCCCCATAGAATAGCTGAGCTCTGTCACTCAAAGGAGGGAAGGACACTGGGCAAACAAAGCAACAGATTTTCTCTTTGCGTTGTGGGAAATTTCCTTTGGCCTGGCCTCTGGTGAGAGGCACTTGGAAGACCCCTCTCCAGCCTTCTGTGTCAAAGCCATCCCTTCTATGAGGTGGTCTCATATCTCCCCCTGCTGGGCACAGCTGTGCCTTGGCCCTCTAAAGCCATTTATGACTGTCCCTTCTACAGCACTGTATGTATTTGTCCACCCATTGGCTTAGAGGCATGTTCTGAGTGACTCCCAGACACTGGAGAGAAATAAGCTCTGTCCTTATCCTCAGGGTTGCGTTGCACACATCAGTGGAATTATTTACATATAGTGTGTCTGTTCCCTCTATTGAGCTGCAGGCTTTCTGAGGCCCTGGTCCTTGTTTACTTCCTTTTTGCACTCTCCTTGGCATTATATGCACATGGTTTTGATATTCTTGCTGCTCAAATCTTTGCTTGCATTCTAACAGGATAGTTTGTGGGATCAGAGGCATGGAAGGGCAAGCGCAGTAGGGTTTGCAGGCAGACTCAGCCCCCTGGGGAGCCAGCACCTGGCTGTCAGTGGGAAGAGTAATTGGTTCCTTGTAGAATCCCGGGCTGTCTCCTTTCCAGAATCCCAGAACCCTGAACTTCAGAGGAAGCCTGGTTTGGTGCTTGCTTGGCAAGAAAAAGCTGGACTTTTCACAAAGGAATTGAGCTTTAGTAAAATAATTGGTTCATTGCTTAGATAGTTCAAAGCCGAGATCCTGGCTGAATCATACTGTGCTCTTATAAGATATATCTATTTTTTTCCATACATGTCCTTGATATTTTCACACAGAGAAGACTATAGGTATTTTTATTTTTAACAAAAAGGTAACGTATTCTATGTATATAAATAGTACCTGTGCATACATATACACATACATACAGAGTTATATGCGATATGCATAGAGACACATACATATACGTCTTTAAAAATGCTGTTTCTTTACTAAGTCAGTAAGTATTCTGACTTACTGGGATTCTGGGTGTTTTTCCGGAAGGTATGTGAGCACCGCTGATACCCCCAGTGCCACACCCATAGCAGGTCTCAGGAAACACTGGGGAAAGTTTCCATTTCCATCTTGCTGCATTTGTTTCTTCCCCATCTAAGCCCATAGCATTTCTGGTGAACTGGTAGAGTAATATTTTGCTATTTGTGCTCATTTCTGTTAAACGGGTGTTGATTATTTCCACTGTTTGTGTTGAGTCAAGTGCTCAAGGGTAGACCTTAAAAGGGAAGACTGATGAGTGTTCTCCATCATCATCAGTGATACATACATAACTCCCACATGGCCACGAACAGGAGACACCAGAGCTGGCACACAGGCTTGTTCATTTTGTGCTTACTTTGCAAATATTTACCGAGCACCTGCTGAGTATGGGCTTTGAGGATACCCGATGAGCCATACAGACCATGTCCCTGCCTCATGGAACTTGTGTGTGCCTCTCTGGGAAGTTGTGGTAACTGTCCATCAGCCAGTGTGATTCTCTTCGTGGTGTGGTAAGGGGGGCTCAGAGATGATTGATTTAACCCCTTCCTGCTCCTTAAGACACTATCCTCCAACACAAACATACCCCACCACCCACCCACACACACCTCTCATAAGAATAACAAGAAAGTTGAGTGTGAAACACTTCTCCCTCCACATACCTGGCATAAGTGAGTCAGACAGATGGGGCTGAGACTTGGGAGTCCCTAGAGGTTGACTACACCCTATTAGGCACAACAACTAGGGTGGTCCCTAAGGGTCATGCAGGAACACAGGACACCTGAGTGATTCTGGGTGGGATTCTTGTCCTAGGGACAATTTAAACAGCATTACAAACTGCATTCTGGTTTTGTTGGGGATTTTTTAGGTCAGGTCCAAAGCAGAAAGTGCATAGAAGATGTGATTCACTTTGCCTGGGAAGAGAAGCTCTTTCTTATGGCTGATGAGGTAAGAGTTGCCCAGCTCTCTCCTCCGTGAGGAGTGAGGCTGAGCTTTCTCTTCCAGGGGGAGGGAGCCAGGCCTGACTGTTCTGTACCACAGGGAAATTTCTAGGTGTTGGAGGACTGATTCTAACCAAGGAGGAGGATGTTAACAACCTGTGAAACTGTGACCTAAATCATCCCTCTATTCGGTTGGATTCTTGATTATAAATTTCAGAAAGTTAACCCAAACCACTTTAAACTTTAAAAGAGGGGCATCTGGGTGGCTCAGTAGGTTAAGCATGTGACTCTTGATTTTGGCTCAGGTCATGATCTCAGGGTTTGTGAGATAGACCCCTGCATTGGGCTTTATGCTGATAGTGGAGCCTGCTTTGGATTCTTTCCCTCCCTCTCTGCCACCACTCCCCGCCGCCCCTCACCTTCCTGCCTGGTCATGCTCTCTCTCTCTCAGAATAAATAAATAAACTTGAAAAACAACAGTGGGGTAAAGGTGTGGGGCTAAGTTCAGGGACACAAACCATATCCCTCAGATTCACTCTCCTTCCACTTAGGCCTCACAACATTGCTATCTTCCCAGCCTAGAAAGAGAATTTCTTCCTGGTGATTCTAGCAAAAGTCTCAGAGTTGAGCCTGAATCACACAGCTTGGGTCACACACCCACTGCTGAACCAATCACTGTGGCTGATGGTTGCAATATGCACATTGACCAGGCCCCATACAAGGGGCAAGCTGTCTTCCCTAAGAGCAGGGAGCAGTGTTCCCCGAGGGGAAATCAGGGGACTCTCTCTCAGGAAGGGAGAGTGGATGCTGGGTGGACATAATGCTGCGTTCCTATGCCTCCTGTGCTTCCATATCTACCATCTCATTTAGTCCTCACTGCAGCCTGTGAAGGGAGGTGGGGAAATTTTAATTAATTTCATGGTTGCCACTCCTTGAACCCCAGTTCTGGAGCCAAGGCTCCCCATTTTTTTCTTGCTTTGCAAGGAAGAAACTCCAGGCCTGTCAGATTCTATTTCACTTCTTCATTTCTGCACGATTCTGGTTAGTGGTAGCTTCTAGCACCCTGGTTTCGTTTCTTTGCTCCTTAGCACCCCCCCACACACACACACATAACTTACCCACTAAATTGTTGCCATGATTAGTAGATGGGCTAAAAATCTTCCTTTCTCTCTCTCTCTTTTAAATTCCAGTAGAGGGGCGCCTGGGTGGCGCAGTCGGTTAAGCGTCCGACTTCAGCCAGATCACGATCTCGCGGTCCGTGAGTTCGAGCCCCGCGTCGGGCTCTGGGCTGATGGCTCAGAGCCTGGAGCCTGTTTCCGATTCTGTGTCTCCCTCTCTCTCTGCCCCTCCCCCGTTCATGCTCTGTCTCTCTCTGTCCCAAAAATAAATAAACGTTGAAAAAAAAAAAATAAAATAAAAAAAATAAAAAAAAAAATAAATTCCAGTAGAGTTAACATACAGGGTTATATTTGTGTCAGGTGTTAAAAATCTTCATTTCTAAAGGAGAGAAGGGGCAGCAGAGTGACTTCGTGCACTAAACTCCTCCCCTTGAGGTCCAGGAAGAGGAGGGCATGAGGAAGTTCATCTCCAAGGGCAGAGGAAGGTGCTTGCCTGCTGAGTGTGGACTATGTGGACAGGGAAAAACAAAGCATGTGTGGGTGCCATTCATGTCTACAGTCTAGTGGGAAAGCTGGCAGTGAAATGAATAGAAAAACAGTAGTTCCAAAGGGGGTTGGTGTCGTAAAAAGCCAGGAGAGCAACACGTTCAGCTCTTCAAGTATGGAGGTCAGAGGATAGCTCCATGAACTGCTTCAATTATTTTTTTTAAACTTTTTAAATTTTTATTTTTGAGAGAGAGAGAGAGAGAGAGCAGGGGAGGGGCAGAGAGAGGGAGACACAGAATCTGAAGCAGTCTCCAGGCTCTGAGCTGTCAGCACAGAGCCTGACATGGGGCTCGAACTCCTGAACAGTAAGATCATGACCTGAGCCAGTCAGACGCTTCACCGACTGAGCCACAGAGGTGCCCCTGAACTGCTTTCATTATTAATCTTATGGAAAGAAGTAAACATTCAGGGAGGAAACTTGCTTGGGCAAGTAGGAGTCCTGACATTGTCACTGGTCAGATGAGGTAGAAAGGAGATCTGAAAGTTGGGTGGAGGTGAGTGTGGGTGAATGGGAGAAATCAAGTGGGCATACAACTCAAAGCTTTCCTCCTTGCGTGTTCTACAAGGTTCCTTTGGGCACATCTGCCTTATTCCTGGAATGGGCTTTGTAGCACACAGCCTGACTGCAGGTTGACCCTGAGCACCTGTGCCCTTCCTACATGGGCTCAGGCCTCTTGGGGAATATGGGTGACTGTCCCTGTGTCCCTGTTCCCCCAGGTGTACCAGGACAATGTGTACTCTCCGGACTGCAAATTCTACTCCTTTAAGAAGGTGCTTTATGAGATGGGGCCTGAGTACTCCAGCAACGTGGAGCTCGCCTCCTTCCACTCTACCTCCAAGGGCTACATGGGCGAGTATGTTGGCCCCCACCTTCCTCCCACTGCCTCTGGGCCTGCCCCATACCAGATCCCCTCTGCCCTGCCCAACACTAGTGTTTTCTGCCAGCCCGGTTACTGTTGCTCCAACATTGACTGAAATCTGAGGGGCCGGAGAAGGCAGGTTGAGTGGACAGATGGCGTCAGGGCCAAGCTGTATGTGTACCTCACCCTAGCACTGGGGCCAGAGAGTCCACTTCAATCCTGTATTTGTTCATTCAGCTAATACTTTTTGATGACCTGCTCTGAGTCCAATACTGATCTCGGCACTGAGGATACAGCAGTGAGCAAACCACAGCAGTCCCTGCCCTAACAGCTTATGTTCTAGTGAAGAGAGAGGCAGTAGACAAATGAATAAAATCATGTGTCAAGTGGACAAAAATAGAGAAGAAATGGGAATGCGGGTGGTGGGGGTAGAGTCATTGAGGAGGAAAGAGGGAGCTATGCAGGTATCTGAGGGAGGAACATTCTAAGATGAGAGAATAGCATGTGTGAAGGCCCTGAGGCATGCCTGGAACATTCAAGGAGTAGCAAGGAAACTGGAAAAGAGTAAGTGAGGGGGAAAGTAGCAGACATGGAGGCCAAAGAAGTCATAAGAGACCAGATCATCTGGGCTACTTAGGTTATTTTTTTACTTTTACTCAGAGTGAGATGGGATCTGTTGGAGGATTATAGCAGAGGCATGAACTCACCTGACTTAAGTTTTACTGGACACTGTCTGGTTGCTGTCTGGTGAGGGCAGGAACAGAGACTAGTCAAGAGGCTGTTATAGCCAGGCAAGGTATATATATGACCGTGGGCCAGGATCGAGATGGGGAGAAGATGCTGAATCCTGGATATATTTGAAGGTAGAGTGGACAGGAGTGGCTTGATGGAGAAGATGATTGTGAGACAGAGGAATCAAGAATGATTCCCAGGCTTTTTATTCAAACAATAGGAAGGATGAAGTAGCTAGCCATCAATGGATGAGGAAGGCTGTGGGTGAAGTAGGTTTGGGGGAAAGATTGGGAGTTGGGTTTTTGACGTGTTGAATTTGCAGATGCTCCTTGCATGTCCAGATGGAGATGGATGTGTGAGTCCCCAGCTCAGGGCTGATAGCCAGCTGATTTAAGTTTGGGAGGTTCAGTGAATGAGTTGTTAGATCTCTGAACCTGGACATCTCACAAGGAGCGAGGTAGACCCTAGGTAGACCAGGGACTGGTTTAGGCCCTCACTGCTCAGAACCTGGGGGAGAAGAGGAGGAACCTGCAGAAGAGAATGAGAAGAAAAGACTAGTGAGTTTACAGCTAAGGGCATTCATCCACCAACTTTGTGGGGGTTCTTTTATGCGCCAGCTGTCAGGTTCTCCCTTGTTAAGTTGAAGGCCGATGGACCCATGAAGCTTGGAGGAATATTTTGGCCAGGTCGATGGAGCTGCATCATGGGGATGATTACCCAGCTGGCTTTATTTGATGTAGGCAGGGGTTAATTTATGCTGGTCTTTCTGGTCTATACCAATAGCAGTGCTTTATCTCTGCTAGACTTTTGTGTGCTATGTAGCTCTTTTCCTAAACAAGTCTGTTCTTTATTAAGTCTTTTTTCAAACTCAGGTGTTTTTATCACATACTTAGTCGTGTCTCCATCTGTTATTGATTATTGTTTTTAACAGTCTGCTGGATGTTGGTATCCTGAGTTATGACCTGTAGTCTTCAGATCCTGATTACCTGGGATTAGACTGCTCTAATCAGCAGAGGATTAAGCAGAAAGTTGTTTCTTTCAGCCTTTGTTATGGGAAACCTTTCTGCAATACTAGAATTTATCTTCTTGCCTTGGAAAGTCCAGTCAAGAGATGAGATGGGAACTGGCCTTTGCCAGTTCAGTTCTGCAGCCTAATTCCAGTGGCATTTTATTGAGTGTTTCACTGTGTCAGGTCTTCTGAGGTTGAGGGTGTGGAGTATACAGAGGTAGGTAAGACTAGGTACCCACCTCAGGGAGTCTGCATTTCTGCAGTCTTAGTCTGAACGTTATCTGTCACAGTCCAGGGAAGGAGGTACAGCTCCAGAAAGTGTGACTGCTGGGGCAGATTCAGGTTCGAAAGTTTTTGTGTTTTTTTTTTTGTTTTAACTCATTGCAGATTTCATCTTACTTTCCTGTGATTTCAGTCTATATCAAATATCTATATCAGGATCCTAGTGGTGATAAGTAATGGAAACTAAACTTGAACTGACTTTCACCAAAGAGGTTTTTAAAAAAAAATTAATATCAGTAAAAAGTTTAGGAATCTTAAAGATGTCAGTAGGACTCTGTCCCTGATTTCTTGCTTTGTCTCATTGTCTTTCTCAGCTCTGCTCTCCTGTAGGTTAGCTTTGTTTTCAGAAAGCAGAAAGTTCCAGCAAAAGTCCTCAGACTATGTTCATAAGCTCCAGTGAATCAGGTACCTACCCCTGGAGCCTGTGCAGGCTTGAATCATGTGCCCCTTTAGAACAGGGGCTAGTGTATTAGTTAGGACTCAGGCTAAGTGGCTTTAACTAAGAGGCCCAAAAATATAGTGGCTAAAACAAGTGGATCTCTCTTTGACATAACAGACCAAAGGTAGGGGAAGTCCAGGACAGGCTGTGCTCCACGAGGTCATTCAAGGACTAGGCTGGTAGGACGGCTCTGCCATATCAACATGTGGCATCCATCTCTGGCACTGAGGCTGCTGCTCCAGTGTCTCATTTCTCAGGAAATGGGGGAAAAGAAGGAAAAAGAAGAGAGCATACTTTTTTCTTGTAAGGAAGTGATGTGGAATTTGCTCGTGTCACTTCCGTTCACCTTCCATTGGGAAGAACTTGGCCACATCTGACCACTCAGCATTAGGAATGGGGATGATTACAGAACATTCTGGCTGACCGGATTGCATTTAGTTGAGGCCTCTCTGTGACTGGTGGGTCCTTTCCCCATCTTCAACCTGCAGGTGTGGCTACCGAGGAGGCTACATGGAGGTGATCAACCTGCACCCTGAGATCAAAGGCCAGCTGGTGAAGCTGCTCTCTGTGCGACTGTGCCCGCCAGTGTCCGGGCAGGCTGCCATGGACATCGTTGTGAACCCCCCAGTGCCTGGAGAGGAGTCCTTTGAGCTGTTCCACAGGGTGAGTTGCTGTGTTCTGTAGCCCATCTGCATCCCTGCCACAACAAGGGTCATGGGTATTCATGGTGTATTCAGGATCACCATGGCCAGCCTCTCTCCACACCTCTGATAGGTGCTCGTGGTTCCTCTTGATGCCTAAACCACCCCATGAGGTTCAGTATGAAAATGTAGTTGGACTGTGTTCTGAAGTGGAGGACTGTCCATGCATGTGGGTGGGGGACCCCTACCCCTTCATCCCCTGTGAGCACCATAGATGGGCAGGCATCCCTGGAGGATTCTGTTACTAAACTAAAAAGGAGAAAAGGATGGGCGTGGCATTGGTTCTAGACCATAGGCCTGCCTTTGGCCCAACCAGATGTTCTCACAGCTCAAAGTAATCCAGTTAGACCCTTTCCATTCATTGCAAGTGACAAAAACCCGACTTTAACTAGTCTACACACAAAGGAATTTATGGGGCATGTAACCAAACAGTCAGTTCCCAGCCATTCTAGGCTCACATTTTTTTTTTAAATTGTGGTAAAATACACAGAACATAAAATTTACCATTTTAATCATTTTTCACTGAACATAAAATACACTCACATTGTTGTGCACCCATCACCACCATCGATCTCCAGAACCTTTTCCTCATCCCAAACTGAAACTCTATACCTGTTAAACACTAACTCCCCATTTCTCCGTCCCCCCACAGCCCCTGGTGACTAACCTCTGTTCTACTTTCTGTCTCTATGAACATGACGACTCTAGGTACTTCATCTAAGTGGAACCATACAGTATTTGTCTTTTGTGACTGGTTTATTTCACTCAGCATAATGTCCTCAAGGTACATCTGTGTTGTAGCATGTGTTAGACTGGGCTTCCTTTGGAAGGCTGAGTAATATTCCACTGTGTGTGTAGACCATGTTTCCTTCATTATCAGGCCACAGCTTCCATCCCCTGTTCCAACAGTACTTGCAGAAGTCCTGGACTGACACATGTGCACCTCTGAGCCAGCCAGTGATTTGCTTTGCCTGAGTCACATGCCCTATGCATACCACATGGATTGAAAGTGGCCCCCCAAAATGAAGTGGTTGGGCCATCTCCTAGAAGCATGTTCTAGGGCTCTCTATCCAGGGCCAGGTCCACTCAGACCGCTGGGCAGGGACGAGGTTTTCTCATTTTGAGAAATAACCTCCCTCCTGGTAAGAGAATAGAAGCCATGACACAAGTTACCCAGGACCTACCTTTTTCCCAGAACTCCCTGCACTTATGGGCCTCAGGGCCCACAATAGCCTTTTGGGCTGAGCACCCAGAGAAGTTCCTGCAGAGGAATGTGTCACCCACCTCCTTGATTTGCTATGTTCCTGCACACACAGGCTCGCTTTTTACCAGGCCACCCCATTCCCCCCCGCCCCTGTGTTGAAGGGACAGTTTCCAGTAGCTAGAGCCATTCCATGATGCCCAGAGGTGCTGACTCTTGTTTTCTGTGTCTCATCAGGAGAAAGAGTCTGTCCTGGGTAATCTGGCCAAAAAGGCTAAGCTGACAGAAGACCTGTTTAACCAAGTCCCAGGAATTCACTGCAACCCCTTGCAGGGAGCTATGTATGCCTTTCCTCGGATCTTCATCCCCAGCAAAGCCGTGGAAGCAGCTCAGGTTTGGGGTGCTGGGCCGGGGCTCACTGGATTCGCTTGGAATTGCTGGGTTGGGGGTTGGCTCTTGCCTTGGGAAGCAAAAGTGCTGGTTCTGGAGGCTCGGAATTTTTCGGACCCCTCGGCCAGATGGTGCTTATAGCATAAAGATGATGGGCCCCTGGAGGCCCAGCTGTGGTGAAGGGGCAGAGATGAGGTCAGCTCCAGGCGAGTGGTGCTGATCTGGGCTCTGTTACCTCCAGTGTTCTGAAGGCAGGTGCCCAAGCGTGACATGATGCATTTAAAACTGAACCCACGCTGGGGAAGCAGTGACAGCCGTCTCTTCTGCGCAGTGACTGCCCTAGAGCAGCACTTCTCAGTCCTTGAATGTCAACACAAAATCACCTAGGGACCTTGTTAAAATGCCAGTGATGGTTCAGGAAGTCTGTGAAGGGGCCGAGATTCTGTGTTTGCAACAAGTTTTCAGGCCGTGCCATAGACATCTGCCTGCTTTAAGGATCAGAAGCCAGAGCAGTGTTTCTGAAAGTGTTGTCCTTGTGTCCCTTAAACCTCCTCAATACCTTGTTAAACATTCAGAATCTGGGCCCTCCCCCACTCACTCAGACCTGCTGAGTCAGAATCCCTGGTGCCCGAGAAGCCATTTAACAGGTACCCCAGGTTGTAAAAACCAAGGTGCAAGAAGCACTATGAACACAGCCCCCAAGCTGCTGTTCCCTAAAAGTCCCCCTGGGCACAGACCTCAAGGCCATGTTGTCAGAGGTTATGCAGCTTGGCATATATATAGGGGACCACCATCAAAGCTTGTGGAGATACTGCCTGGCTGTGGGGCACAAAGGAAAGAGACTCTCAGTCCTGGGCAGAGAGCGAAGTACCACAGCCCATGGCCATCCTCAAGTAGCCCGCAGGCCCCAGCTTCTAGCAGTTTCCAGTGTCCCACCCTGGTCCTTGCAGGGAGGGTGGATGAGCCCTGTCACGGGAAAGAACCTACCGTTTCCATTGTATTTGACTTTGAGTGTTCAGTGGTGTGTTTGTGCAGTGCAAAGCCGTAAATGAACTCTCAGTCCTGCCCTGCTCCCACAGGCCCATAAAATGGCCCCCGACATGTTCTACTGCATGAAGCTCCTTGAGGAGACTGGCATCTGTGTTGTACCTGGCAGCGGCTTCGGGCAGAGGGAAGGCACCTACCACTTCAGGTACTGCTGCCTCTCTGTGCCAGGGGACTGGTCCCAAGTTTGTCTTGGAAAAGACAACCTGTGTTATCATAGAACACAGGCTGACTTCAGACACTGAAGTGTGTGCAGCCCCAAACTCACTGTGGCAAACCACCCGCCCTGCCCACTCCCATTCTGTCCTGTTGCAGAGCCAAGCCAAGACCTGGGTCTGGGGATTAAGGAAAACTGGGTAGATTCCAAGGTCATCTCCTTGACCACTCTGTCCCCCCCTCCATTGCCTCCATCTGTCACATACTATCCGAAGTGTCCCCAGTGGGGTGTTTTCTTCTTTATTTCCATGTCCTTTTCCAACTCCATGATAGCAGCTTGCAGTACCCAGGTGCTCAGTAGCTTATCCAAAAGTCTGCAGAGATGCCACATCTAAAACAATGGAATTGGTTTCACTTACTATGACACATTTTACAGGGTGTGCCAACTCTGCCCCTGTGTGGATGGCAACCCCAGGAGCAGAGCAGGCTGGAGCAGCTCAGCCCAGGTTTCCCCACTGAAGCCAGTTCTAACAGAACAGCATCTTCTCCACGCTTGGTGCTCTCAGATGTCTCCTGCAGCAGATGCTAAAAAAAGAAATGTCATGAGCTTAGTTAGCACCTGGAGCCAAGTCCTGACTCGGGTTGTGGGCAGTGTGCCCTGGATGGACAAACGTGTCTGGTTGGCCTTTCTACCCTAGTGAGGTCCACCTTGGCAGTTCATGGCTCATTCAAAAAAAAGGTTAAATCGAGAGGGCTGACTTTAAGGTGGTGAAGCAAACCAACAGTATTAGAGGAAGTATTAGTTACTATGGCAACTTGGGAGTTCTTTTGGAGGGAGAGTTGTAACTGGAGGTTCTCACTGTAAGAGAGATTTTTTTTTTTTTTTTTTTTTTTGAGAGAGAGAGAGAGAGCAAGCAGGGGAGGAGCAGAGAGAGGGAGACAAGAGAATCCCAAGCAGGCTCCACACTGTCAGCACAGAGCCCAATATGGGGCTTGAATTCACTAACCTGAGCCAAAATCAAGAGTCAGATGCTTAACCTACTGAGCCACCCAGGCACCCCAAAAGAGAAATTTTAAAAAGGCCCACCTACCAGGAAGAACATCTTGCTCTGTATCTGCAGGAAACACCAAGTCATGCTCTAGAGGAAGTTGTATACACAGGTCAGAATGTTGCATGGGCCTTCTGTGATAATGGGTGGACGTGTTAGTGAGATTAAATGCTGCCGGCATCTTACTGCTTTTGGTCATACATGTTACTTGAGTTAAAAGTAAATGTACAAATTCGGGCAGGAGGTGGTTCAACAAGTCAACAAGTTCCAGGTTTTGTCCAGGGGCTGGTGTTATCGCAGTGGACAAGACAAGCCTTCCGCCTCCCACACTGTTTGCCCACATTGTCACAACTGCAACTGAAGGAAGGAGCTGCCAGGTTCATTCCTCTCCCCTTTTCCAAAACAACTTATGTCCAGGCTGATGCTATCTTCTTTCCTGACAGAATGACCATCCTCCCTCCGGTGGAGAAGCTGAAAACAGTTCTACAGAAGGTGAAGGACTTTCACATAAAGTTTCTGGAGAAGTACGCATGAGGATTGCTCGGGCCCAAAGGGAGACCCAATTGTCAGGCCTTCCTCCTGATGGCCCGCCCACACCAGACTGAACTTGCCTTCCCCAGCGACTCTGCCTCAGGCCTCACAAAGGCCACTGGTGGCTTTTGTTGTCATTTTGCCCCAAGAGACTTCTTTCTTTGTGCCTTGATGTTGGGAGCACTTCTCTTCTGAGCAAATGTGAATTGGGGATATCTCAGAAGCCCTGTTTTTGTTTGTTTGTTTGTTTTTTGTTTTTTTAAGCAACCAAAGTAGAGGGGACTTGCTCAGCACATGTGGCCGGTGTTCTCTGAATCCATTATTGTGCTATTGGAGAGGCTATTTGGGGTTTAAAACAACCAGGGTATGTATGTTGGGTGACATGTTTCAGATCTGAAGAAACAAGAAGGTGCTGGGAAATGTATGATAACCATGGCAAGAAGTGGAAATCCTAAACTCACCACCGTGATCTGTGAAATAAAACCATTAGCGGTGTGAAAATCTAGTTCTTCAAACAGGAGAGCCTGGAAGTCCACTAGAGGCTCAGAGAGGGCCCACCATTCTGGCTTGTAGGCAGACAGCCTATCTCTCAGACAAGAATGGTGAAAGCAGTCGCATGTGGGTTGGACTAGATGCCAGGCTAGGTTGTGACAGGTACTGGGGGCAATGGCCAAGTCAAAGCGTTCTGCAGGGGAAGAGTGGGTGCAAGCCAGGCTCCAAGTTGAACCAGGTCTCCACTTGGGAGCGCACATCAGGTAGTGAGGACTCTGCAACAGGTAATTGAGCAACAGGTAATGAGGGCTTTGGGGGTGAAACGTTCCCTTAAGCATGCTTAGGTTGGGACCCCCATCTGGGAGGTCTCCCTGGACTTCAGGGACACAGGGTACAGCCTGTCCCAGTCGCATGGAGGCATTCTGCCTGCTGATGTGTGGATCCATCCTGCCCTTAGCCAATAGCTGTTTTCTACCAAGGGCTTGATTTCCACACATCGCCCTCTGTTGGTGACAGCAGGGACAAGGAAACACTGAAGATGTCCACAAATGAGGGAGGGGCATCCTCAAGGACTTGACCAATCAAGCCCCCTCCCCCTCCCCCAAACAATCCCCTCCTGTAGTGTCCGTTGTTTCAAATCAAATTCAGTCCATTTCCTAGCTGATAACTGGTCAAAGTGCCTGGTAGCTTGGCTGCTGTGGGCAAGTACATGTAATTGGATTCGAAGTTTATAAAAGTATTTTAACTTAATGCCAAGCGTTTTGCCTCACGTTTGCTGCTGGCTCCCCTCCCAGACTCTGCAGACTGTGCTGTAGCATCAGTCATGTCTCCAGCCAGGGGAGTATCCTCCACCAGGCCTGCTGCTTCCCTGGCATTAGCAAACCTGGGTCAGGACCTGACCCACACTTTGAAAACAAGTGGGTGCCATGGGAGCAACAGGCTTATCTGAGAGCCCCTTCATTAAGAGACCCTTCCTACCATTGGCCTTCCCCAGTGGGCAGTGAGGGAAGCCAAGGCCAGCTATAGAGCCTGGGGGCCCAGCAAGTCCCAAATTGGAATCAAAGGAGCTGGAGAGACAAAAATGAAGAGAAGTGAACTTTGAAGGCAGCCTCCTATGCTGTAATTTCCACGCTTGGGCCCGTGCAGGGGAATATGATAGAACACTACAGACTGCCCCTACTTGCTAACATTACAGTTCCTGTGAAGAAAGTAGCCACAATCTACAGTAACAAAGGGAATGTTTGGGAACTTTTCCTTCCTTAAAAATTGAGAAAATTGCACTTGTGCTTGTTGGATGGCACATCAACCAGAATGTGTCCCAGAGTTGTGAGGTTTCTGGTGGAGAGGTTACATAGTAGAAGCTAGTCTATTTTTTATATTTTTGTAACAATTGCTTTTTTCATGAGGGGATGAGGGGGTTAGTATTTGTAGTCTTAACGAGTCTAGTAGTTTTTTATAAATCTCTTCAGATTATAAATAACATAAAAACTTTGCAACGTTTACATGATTTTTTAAAAGATGCTGTATGCACTTGGTTTGCTTTTAAAATAAAAATGTAATAGGTCAGCTGGTTTAGGAGGTTAACTTCATTCAGGGTAGGATTGCTGATCATGATAGATTTGATTTTTTACAGACTTTATTCTGGCATCTTGTTTGGGTACCGCCAGAGAAAGTCATTTGTCATTTGGGGTCGCACTTAAATCTACACCTGCAAAGTTTTTTGTTGTTCATCTAGGTCTGCACATGAGGAATGCCAGACTGTACCTCTGGTGGTTGATCACCTCGTACCCTGAGGCCCAGCATGTTGCTGTCCCAGTGTTGTGTGATTTTGCAGGAAGAGCTGACAGGCCTGCCTGTCCCTGTTTCCCAATTTAGATTCTCATAGGCATCTCCTGACAAAGGTACTTAATGATAGCTCTGCTGGAAATTTCTAAACAATAAAATACATGTCCAAAATGGTGATGGTGTTTAACTTTCCTTGTAGTTTAAAAGTCAAACAGATATCACTAATTATACATCTTCACTCTTTGTAATTTAATGGTCCTAGCACTAGAATGAACATTTTCCTCAAATACTACAAACTTCTCTCACAATTTCTCAGCTTCCGTTTCCTTTTAGGTGTCAATCCTCAGGACCCTGAGCTGTTTTTTGTTGCTTGAGGTAGGAAAACATAGATTCTTGAAATGGGATATTGTTAAAATGAATACAGACCTTGGCTGTCTGGTGGAATCAGAATGAACATCCTCTTCACAGTGGTCAGGAGAAGCTCGAGAAGCACAGCAAGGTCAGTGGAGGAAAGGAGTCATTGATACAAGGGATTTCATTCCTTTTCCCTAGGCTTTCCCAGGTCTACATCAGTTTTGATGTGTGGTTTTGAATTCAAAACTATTTTTCACTCAAAACTAAAATTTCTATGTTTTTATTAAAAAAGAATTGGAGGGGTGCCTGGGTGGCTCAAGGTGGCTCAGTCAATTGAGCATCCAACTCTTAGTTTCAGCTCAGGTCATGATCTCCCAGTTCGTGGGATCGGGTCCCAAGCTGAGAGTATGGAGCCTGCTTGGGATTCTCTCACCCCCTCTCTGCCCCTCATCCCCTTATTTATCTATTTAAATAAACATAAAAGAATTGGAAAATGGAAAAAAGTAGGATTCTTTCAGTTGGAAGAAATGGAAACCTACTCAGAATAGCCTGAAGTAGGAAAGAGGAATTGAAGTCCTGGAGGGAAGCTGGCTTAGGTTCTCCTTCCTGTTCACTTTGTTAAATGCAAAGCCTGTCTTGTCCAGCTCCACGTTGAAAAATTCCAAGGAAGGACTTTGATTGGCTACCTTTGTCCGTGTCCTTCCCTGAATCAGTCTCTGAATCATTTGGCTGGCCCTGTGCTTGCTGGTGAGGCAAAGAGGGGCTTAGAGTCACCAGCCCCATCAGAGCCATTGGAGGAGCTGCTCTCTGTAGGATAGGGGACTTCATTTACTATATGTGGCTCTTTAGAGAGGACTGGGGGAGAGAATGGTGTGTTTAGGGTGTGTTGAGGGTCCTTACTGGTTGATAACCAAGGGAACTAGAGATGTTCTCTGCATCTTCCCTCATCATTCATTTACATGGAAACATATACAACTTGCCTGGAGACTAAACTTTGTGTAGCTATTATACAGAGAGTTTATTAAATAGGGGTTAGAAAAGACTTATTATTCAACATTATTTTTGGTATGGTTTGCTGTAACACACCTAGAAAGCTGTCAGCAAATGTTTGATAAGTACCATGAGCCATGGACTTCTAGGAAACAGGGAGTCAAAGCTAATAAAATATCACCGTCCTCAAAAAGCCATACGTGCAATGGCCACCAGACAGTTGAGTACTCAAATTCAATCTACCTAGTGTGCTGGGCTTAAAAGAAGCATGTGGGTCAGGCATAGGAGAAGGGGATGATGCTGTTCTCTACCAATTTAAGGATTGGTACTTTCTGAGAACCAGATATCTTTGGCTTTCATCCTGCCCCCAAGCCAGGAGACACCCCTCTCCCTAAGAAACAAAGAAGATGGAATTTACTGCCACTGCTCAGCTCTCTTCCTTAAGAGGCACAGGTCATCTAGAGTTTCTTATTAAAATTTCATTCTCCCACTTAAAAAACCATACTGATGGGGGCGCCTGGGTGGCGCAGTCGGTTAAGCGGCCGACTTC